AGTCTAAAATTGCGTTTATTTCCCCCCAGCAGTATTAAATAGGGTCCTACTCTGTTCCTGCAGAAATCTAAGTGTCTAGATTGAGATTTTCCAATCTTGTACCTGGATTTAAAAGAAATGATCTATAAACAATCACAAATTGCAAAAGTAACGATTAGTGCCATAAGAAAGATTAAACATTCCTGGGCCATTGTTCTCTCTCCCTTCTGATCCCCGGCCCGCATTCCTCTCTGTCTTCTTATTGAAATCAGTTATCTATTGCCGCCTGCTGAATCTGAATAACGGCTCGCTGCTAGAACATGCCTGGCTTAAAACAATCAATAAACTCTCATTTTCTTTTAACAGTTTAATATTAATCTGGGGGATGGTGGGGAATGGTAAATGTGCCATTACGGCGGCTCTGACCTCCTCTCTAAAGCTAGAGCTCTAAGCAAGAGGATGATGTGAAAAGAAAATGAAGACAGGACACAGCAGGAGATCCGAGATGATCTGTTAATGAAACTTCGGCGCTGCCCTCTGTTTTGATGAGTTCCCATGGTGATCAAATAGAATTATAAATAGGCTTTTGTAGTTGTGGTCAATTTTCTATCTATCGACATGATAAAACAAGACATGACACAATCATACACCATAAATCTCTTACTCTTCCCTGCTGTTGGGAATCGATGAATTATTGAACACAAACTCTAAAAAACAAATGAGAAATTTACTTGCGGTAAAAAAAACTTTCTGCCAGACAATATGCTCAGTAAACTCTCACCATGCCTGCATTTTCCTTTCCTCCATCAATTCAATATGAAAAAAAGGCTGATGCCACTGTGTACAATTAGTACAAAGAATTATACCTCTTTATAAGAGAAATGTAGGCATCAAACCCGGGGACAATGGTAATCTAGTTTTAATGAAAGGAAAATATCAGGACACTATAGATAGAGGTAAACACCAAGAAAATTAAGAGTAGAGTATAGTTGTACTGTATTTACATCACCAGAGCTTTAAATGCAAATATACAGTGGGGAGGGGATGCTCGGACCCCCATCAGGAGAAAGGTACCAGAACTAGAGTTAAAAATGAGTCCGGGGCTTCCCTGGTGGCGCAGTGGTTGAGAGTCGACCTGCCGATGTAGGGGACGCGGGTTCGTGCCCCGGTCCGGGAGGATCCCGCATGCCGCGGAGCGGCCGGGCCCGTGAGCCATGGCCGCTGAGCCTGCGCGTCCGGAGCCTGTGCTCCGCAGCGGGAGAGGCCACAACAGCGAGAGGGACCGCGTACCGCAAAAAAAAAAAAAAAAAAAAGAGTCCGAACTACTCCTACATTGTACATAAACCGAGACACAGTCAAAGGAGTCACCCCCTAGTGGTAAAAACAGTAATAGTTATGGGGCCAGTGGTGCTGGATGACAAACCTGAGAGTTAAAACTCACGGTTTCTTAGCCAGATATGCTCAACTACAGAAGCCCTTTGGACAGCTGTGTGAGGAAACTGACTAGTCTCTCAAACACGTGCAGCTTGACGATCAGGGTAGTGACTATGCTACTTTTTCATATGGACCTAGAACTAAAGCTATGAAGGCATGAACATCACAGCAAGGACATGTGCATTCTTAGGAGTAATGGGCCTTGTTTGATTACTGCAGGGAGGGCCAATAAAGATCTATTACAGCTCAAATCTTTTGTGCTCAGAAGTAGCAGATCAGATGACAAAATGGAAACTAAGGAAAAGTGAGTGATAACCTTTTGTAGGAAAAGCTATCAAACCCACTCTTACAGAGATGTCATTTTTTTTTATAAATTTACCATCTAGACTATTTTTTAAAAAATTTTATTTACTTATTTATTTATTTTGGCTGTGTTGGGTCTTCGTTTCTGTGCGTGGGCCCTCTCTAGTTGCGGCGAGCGGGGTCCACGCTTCATCGCGGTGCGCGGGCCTCTCACTGTGGCGGCCTCTCTTGTTGTGGAGCACAAGCTCCAGACGCGCAGGCTCAGTAGTTGTGGCTCACGGGCCTAGTTGCTCCGCAGCATGTGGCATCTTCCCAGACCAGGGCTCGAACCCACGTCCCCTGCATTGGCAGGCAGACGCTCAACCACTGCGCCACCAGGGAAGCCCCAGAGATGTCATCTTAAAGGGATTTTCAAGTGTTTTTTTCCCGTTATTAAAGAAATACATGTTTGTTTACTTTAGAAAATTTATAAACTATGAAAAATTACAAAGAAGATACTAAACATCACTTGTTATACTACCACCCAGAGAGAACCACTAATAACCTTTTGGTACATTTCTTCCAGGAATTTTCTCTACAGATAATACATTTAAAAAATTTGGCTGGGGCTTCCCTGGTGGCGCAGTGGTTGGGAGTCCGCCTGCCGGTGCGGGCGACGCTGGTTGGGCCCTGGTCCGGGGGCATCCCACATGCCGCGGAGCGGCTGGGCCCGTGCGCCACGGCTACTGAGCCTGCGCTCTTGAGCTCGCAAGTCACAACTACTGAGCCCACGTGCGACAACTGCTGAAGCCCGCGTGCCTGGAGCCCGTGCTCCGCAGCAGGAGAGGCCGCGGCAGGGAGAGGCCCGCGCACTGCGGGGAGGAGTGGCCCCCGCTCGCCACAGATAGAGGGGGCCCGCGCGCAGCAACGAAGACCCAACACAGCCATAAATAAATAAATAATAAATAATAAAAATAAAAGAAAAAAGGTTTAAAAAATTTTTTTGGCTGGTTCATGTTTGAGTATTTGTACAACCAGATTTTCAACTCATAGAGAGCAGGAACTTTGTTTTTCATGTTATCCCTCTGACAATACTTCCCTCTCCCCACTAATCCCAAAGAATATGGGGTAGTTTTTTTGTACTTGGTAGGCCTCTGCTACTGCTCATCAAATAAATGAATGAATGAGAGTCTGCCCTTGATTAGAAGATTAATTTTTCATGACCAATTTACACATAAAATATTATGTTTGAAATCAAATGGCGTTATAAATATTTTTATAAGCTTTTTCTCTTGGGAACGATTTCTGAAATTTAAGAATTTTGAGTTTTAATTCTTAAAAAATGAGCACTTTAAATATTTTTGGAGAGATCCTTTAAACTGTGTCAATGGATAGACAAACAAGGTCATCAAGGAAATGTCAGAACATATTGCAAAGTTGAGCACCACATAGCCTTTGAGTAGATCTTCCAAGAAAATGTTACAGGCCACTTATCTGATAGGGACAATGTGATTTACATATAGCATCTACTAAACCTGGTCTGCCTGAGAGACAGTTTCCCTTGATACTATTTTTCCCGGGGAGCGGGGATGTGGGGAGCAAACAAGACTTTCACTATGTGAAAGTCATAGTGATAATTTGAGAACATGATAAGCAATAAGACAATCTAGTGGAAGGAACATAGAACCAAGGATGGGGAGACCTATGCCTCGGTTTACATGTCACCACTAAGTTCCTAAGGGACCTCGGTCAAGTCAGGTACCACTTCTACTTTTCTCTTTTAAAAATGCCTACCTGGCAGCTGGTTTATTTTTTTTGCGGTACGCGGGCCTCTCACTGTTGTGGCCTCTCCCGTTGCGGAGCACAGGCTCCGGACGCGCAGGCTCAGCGGCCATGGCTCACGGGCCCAGCCGCTCTGCGGCATGTGGGATCTTCCCGGACCGGGGCACGAACCCGTGTCCCCTGCATCGGCAGGTGGACTCTCAACCACTGCGCCGCCAGGGAAGCCCTGGCAGCTGGTTTTTTGAGGATCAGGTAAGAGAGCAGATTCTAAAAGGATAATTATTGATGTGAAAAGCTGTATATTCTTGCTCCAACCCTGATCTGGTAGCTCATGCAAGAGCATGTCGCAGAGGGCAACTTAGTTTGGGGAAAGCCCCAAGCTGCCCCTCATGTTTCTGAACTCAGAAAGAAAAGGCCATCTTCTTGACCAGGAATAAAGAGGAGAATATATAACTTTTGACCCTTGAATCTATTATCATCATCTTTACTGCTAATCCCATTTTAGAGGCCATGTTGTATAAACTACCAACAAGTAAGTCCTTAGCGTTTCCAGAAAAGCTAAGTAAATTATAACTTTCTTACGAAAAAAACAAAAAGACTAGACAATTTTTTTCAGATTATGTCGAACCTGGCAGTATCAGTGACCACGAATATAAAGCGGAACTAATAGTTTTTAAGAGCAGCACAATTCTTGATATTCTATATTTGTCTCCAGCTTCTTTTTCTTGAGATTGGCCAAGCCAATGAAAATTATGTATATTTATCCACCTTTGCTGATTCCTGATACTCTGGGCTTTTTCTCTTATACTTTTTGCTACAGGGGAGAAATGGGCTTAAAGTCGTATACCTTAAACCTGGCGTAGTAATAGCTACCAATGTTTCAAAAAGCCTCACTTTAAGGTCGTTTTCCCTAAAAGCGGTCCTAGGGGATCATGCTCTGGGAAGGCTTTGGCGTATTAACCTTTGTGATGTATTACATTGGATGGGCCTTGGACACAGGTCTGAGCAGAACAAAACCAAGGTTAAATGGTACAGGGCCCTTTCTAAGTCAAATAACTTCTAAGGAATTTATCAAATCTAACTTCTGGAGTGTCACTGGAGGAGTGAAAAATAATGCTGGAAGTCATTGTATTCCCTGTTTGAGACTTAGGACAGTTACATTACTTTAAAATATATCTGTGTTCATGGCTGTCAGAAGAAATCCTAACAAAATCCACACATTTGCCACATCCATTACCACTGTAAAGAATTGCTTTGAAATGCTTGTTCTAACAGTTACATAGCTTCAACTTCCTCATTTGAGGCTGGGCCTTTCTAGTTCTGGCCTGAACGTCTTCACCGAAGGAGCCAAGCTATGATGTGGCACCTACCAAATGCAAAGTTCTCACTGGCAGTGAAAAATAATAATAGCCCATGTCTATTGAGGGCTTTTGTCTACCATGTACGATATGTATTGTACAGTTGAAATTTAATCCACTGAACAGGACTACATGGCTGGCAATATTATTTTCTCCATTTTACAGATGAGACAACTAAGGAGAGAGATGTAAAGAGTTAACGCAACATGACGCAGGTGGTAAGTAGAAGAACTGGGATCAAACACAGCTTGGTGCTGACTCTGGAGGGTTCCCCCTACACAGCCATGCCCATGGAGAGTCATGATTTGGGAGAAGCAGATGGGAGGACTAACCGCCCAGCTGTCTGACCATGAGCATCAAATAATTGTCTTTAATACTGATTTAACACCAAAAAGAAAACTTTCCAAATATAAAGAGGAAATTTTTACTAGACTGAATACAGACAGTCACAGGTGTTTGGTAGGTGGAAATGTCCAATACTTTTCACTCCAAATTCTTTGATGGGCCACATCACCAGCACAGAATCAACACTATCAAAAACAAGTCCTCTTAATAGCCTTTCCTTCCTTTTACAAAGTTGCACGTTTTAAAGCACCCTCCTTTCAAATAAGCCACTAACCCTACGAGAACTAGGCAGCATGGCGGGGAATCTCTTCATGAGAGGCACAGGAATGAGAAAGAATAGTGTATGACTGGGGATCGGGCCCAGCTCCTTGGTGGAGTAGATTCTGCACCTTAGGCAAGTGGGCAGAAGGCAGTGCTTTACGACCACCACGTTTAGCCCAACTTCTAGATTCTTGGATGTTTCATGCGTGGCAATCATTCTCCTTAAAAAATATACGGTAATAATGAACGATCATCTTGTTTTGTGCTAAATAATGAGACAGATAAAAACCGTAGCTACTCATGAGTGCAAAAGTGAAAAAGAAAAACGGCAAACAAAAAAGGTAAGTCATTTGTTGTAAGAACCTACAAATAAATTACAACCTCGCCTAAGATGTATTGATTTTATGTGGCCTCTCCTGTAGAATAATGTCAAGGGTTCCTGACAATCCATTACATTCAATAGGCAAAATCTCCTTATAATTTTTTTTCTGTTTCCTGAACGATATATAATCTATTTTTTCCCTTGATGTAAAAGCAGGGCTTTATACGCTTGAAAATTCTTTAAAGTAGTGAACAAAGCTGATATCACATGGAAAAGTTTCTTCCGATCACTTCTTCAACATCATATGGGGAGAAAAATTAGTTATAATTGACCCTATAAATGATGTGCTAAATAAGTCTAAACCCATGGATACGTTCTATATATACTAACTGGGTCCAGCGAGCTGGAAGTGATTCTTGGGTCATTTATTACAAAGTTAGAAATGGCGTGATGGAGTGAGTGCTTTGCATTTTAACTAGAGATTTCAGTACTGAAGATGAAAACTTAAAAATTAATTATAGATTCCTCACTAATTTTCAATGAAAAAGGTTTACTTCTCAGTGTCTTTAGATCATTATTGGGAACTCATTCTTTACTGCCAGTACTAAAAGTGACCTCAAAGAAAACATTTTAAAAATAGTGTATTACACCACAACTTTAGAGAGATGCTTTTCTCAAGCCTGTAATAAAAAGATTATTTTTACCGTGAAAAAATAAAATGCCTCTGTCTACAGTGATGCTGAAGGAAAACAAATATAGATATAACGGTTCTAGTAGAAGAAGAGCTAATAAGACCAATGCTTTCGATCTTTAAACCTGCAATTACTCCGTGTGTGTGCGCGCACGCGCACACGTACGTGTACACAACAGTGTTATCGTGCATGTCCTCCTCCTGCTGATAGCCTGGTAGCAGGAGGGAAATGAAGACACTGGAAATTTCTTAACTAACTGGCAAGGAGATTTTCATTTTGAGCGTGTAATCGTGGTGCCTGGTTTTGAAACTGAGGGGCCTGGTGTGCCTGGCGATGGAATTCCGGAATTTCACAAGTGTGTGGTTCTGAGGAGGGCTGTCTGACTGGTGAGTGCTGTGCTGCCTTGGTGCATGGTCAAAACAGCCATGTCTTACGGTCTCTTGGTGGCGGCTACTTGATTCTCAAGATTTAACCTAGACTTCTTTAGAAACTCTCCCAGGCTAAGTGCGGCTTTGGAAAGGTCCTCATATGTCACTGCTGAGTAACTTGGGCAACAGGAAACTCCAGCTCGAGTAATGAAACCCACACCCTAGGAAACCCTTTATCCTAGAAAGAAAACTGCTACAGTTTTGCAAAACTTCTTTCTGTGTCAGACGGATTTAGAGACTTGAGGCAGGCAAATAACACAGATGGACTAGTGAACCTCTAATGCTGAAGTGGGCACACGGTCCCTTCATAGACTTCCAATGAGCCCCTACCATGGGCAGACACCGTGCAGGGCAGTGGAATCAAAGGCAAGTGGGGTCCAGGTGTGTTTCCGGTCCACGGGTTTACAGTCCCTGAGACAGATACATGAGGGCGTGGCTACAATGCAGTGTGAGACATGGCAGAGAGGGAGGTCTACACAGGGCTAAAGGCAGGAAGAATCAACTCATGCTGCCTAGGGGAGAAGGGAAAGTTTCACAGAGAAGACGGGTCTTTAAGGATCAGAAGAAGAGATTCTCCAAGCCGACCACTGGGAGCCGGCAGGGGATAGCGGGGATGCAGCTGCAGAGAGGCCGCGAGACCGGACAAGTCCAGGGCATGAGGATGTCTGGAGGGTACAGTAATGGTCCCGTGCCTCATACAGGACGTTAAATCTGGGCCATGTCTGATATTAGGTGATGCTGGTGCTGTCACAATTAAAAGAAGGCTGCGATTCAACTTCTAAATTGGGGCCAAGAGAGTCTGGGGAAGGGGAAGCCCGATGGGAGGTCACTGCCATGTCCAAGGTGAGACTCTGCTCTGTCGCCTCTGTGTCTGCCGCCTCTGCTCCTCCCTGACTCCTACCTGTGGGTCCACGAACAAACCCAAGGCTTATACATCTTGAAAAGATACCTCTCCTCCAGCTTAAAATTCCCCTGGTCTTCATCCTCCTCTCTCCCCTTTTTCCCTTGCCAGCTAAGATTGTTGAAAAAGTAATCTAATCTCCTTATCCCCACTTCCTCACACCCTCTTCCATCAGCAACCCTCTGGAAATTGGCCTTCGGACGGGCTGCTCCGAAACCGCTCAAGCCAAATCTCCAACAATCTATTAATTGTCAGATCTGATGGGCATGTCGTAGGCCTCTTCCTATCTGGCCCCTGCACGTTCGCCATTACTGACCACTCGTCCTACTCAAAACATTCCCCCCTCTTTATTTATTTTATATATATATTTTTTGCGGTACGCGGGCCTCTCACTGTTGTGGCCTCTCCCGTTGCGGAGCACAGGCTCCGGACGCGCAGGCTCAGCGGCCACGGCTCACGGGCCCAGACGCTCCGTGGCATGTGGGATCTTCCCGGACCGGGGCACGAACCCGCGTCCCCTGCATCGGCAGGTGGACTCTCAACCACTGCGCCACCAGGGAAGCCCTTCCCCTCTCTTTAAATGGCACCACGTCATTTTCTGCTTCCTTTCCTACCCCTCTGTCCACATCTGAAGAACTTTTGCACGGGCTCCCCCTTTTTCCACCAGCTCTACAGCTGTTCTTATGCTACACTTTCCTTAAACCAGTGCTTCTCAAACTAGAGTATACATCAGAATCAGCTGGAGGGCTGGACTCTGAGGACTGGGTCCTAACCCCAGACATTCTGATTCAACAGGTCTGGGGGTGGGGCCCAAGGATTCACATTTAGAAAAACAAGTTCCAGGGGATTCTGCTGCTGCTGGCCTGGGACCACAGCTTGAGAACCACAGCCTTAACCAGTCTTTTCTATACCCGTGGCTTCAGCTACCATCATACTGATGGTTCACTACCATGGACATTCCTGAAACCTCAGACTTGGAGAGCCCTTTTCCACATCTCTAGCCTAATATCCCCCAGGCCTCTGCAACTTAATCTGCCCCAAAGTGGAGTGAGTCAAAGCTCCCTTGCTCGTTCCTCTCCACACCCCCAAATCTGCTCTTCCTCCTGTATTCGCTATGTTGGAGAAAGGCACCCCCCCCACACACACACCCCGACTTAGCCTCCACATGTCACAAACTCCCAGGAATTACTGCCTTCAACATTCCCTGGTCCACACACTGCCTCCTGTGCCCGCTGTCACTGCCATGCCTGCGTCCTCACAAAACTCCTAATCTCCAGGCACAGTGAGGTACCCACAGCAAATTTGTCCCTTCTGCCTGAATTTAACATTAGTTGCTTCCCTAATGCCCTTGGCTACTACCCTTACCATGTGCACTTATTATGCATACTGTCTGGGTCACCTTGGACTGCCATAACAAATTACCATAGACTGGGTGGCTTACATAACAAAGCTTTGCTTCTCACAGTTCTAGAGGCTGGAAGTCCAAGATCAAGGTTGCCAGCAGATTCAGTGTCTGGTGAGACCTAGTTTGCAGATGGCCACCTTCTTGCTATAGCCTCACAGTGGAGAAAGAGTTCATCTCTCTCATGTCTCTTCCTATATGGGTGCTAATCCCACTTGTGAGGGCTCCACCTTCATGTCCTAGTTACTTCCTTAAGGTCTCACCTCCAAATAGATCACAATGGAGATTAATGCTTCAACATATAAATCTGGGGCGGGGGGAAATGCATGCTCTGCTGACATTTTGGAAACACCATGTATTTAATTTTAGTACCACCAGGGCTCAGGAATGTGCAAGGCACCCTGAAAGGACCAACATTTTGTTATTTTGACTGGACTTAAGAGTTTCCTGGGAAGAAACAAACTGCTTCTGAACCCTTTCTTAGGCATTGTTACATCCCCTTCAATTTCTCTGGCAACTAAGCTGGCTCTGAAGGGGCTGTAGTATATAGTTTTCTTTCTAGATGAGCTTGGTTATGTCACTAACAAATAATTCAAGGTGCTTTTTATTCCAGTAACAGAGATGGTTGGCACTGGATTTCTTTGACCTAATTTTGCATTCAGACAATAAGCTAAGTATTCTTTGGTAAGCCTGAGTAGTAGAGAGAGATTTAAGGAGATGTGGGCTCTAGTTCTGGCTTGGCTACAAGCTGCCCAAACTCCATGGACTCGAGATCTTTCCCTACAAAAGGAGACACTTGGCTTATCAAGGTTATCTCAGTAGGGCAGTTTTCAGTCCATTAGTTTAGCATATTAGCAATAATTTCAACGTAGTATAATGAAGTACCTTCGAGCATGAGCTGATGAAAGAAAAAGGACTTCCCCTCTGTAAGACTGCAGGAGAAGTTAAGAAGCAATGCCGCAATGTGGAGTCAAAGTAGGGACCCCTGTGTATGAGGAAGGGGGCTTGGATCCTGGGTCCCTGGGGAGGCCCAAACCAGAGACTGGAAACGGTGGCTAAAGGAGCCCAGTTCCAGGGCTAAGAGTCACCTCCACAGACAGAACAGTCACTGAAGTGAAACTAATGTGAGGAACATTGCAATTTCTCACACATATGTTTAGGTTAACACTTTAGCAATTGCCATTTTTGACCCAGCGTCCTCTGAGTGCCTCTTAATTCCTTTGTGTCTAATGGCTTACATCACCATTGAAAAAGTTATAAAGATCACCAGCATCAAAACTGGTAGAGGATCAATATGCATATTTCCAGGCTCCAATCTAGACCTCTTGAACCACAAGGGCCCCATGTGACTCTTATGAACATTAAACTCACTAAGCTTAGACAACTGCTGCTAAGTAAAAAGGACCCACTCAAGTAGGGCTTAAAGGTGACATACTGGACTCCATCAACACCTAGAAGGTCAGTCACCATTTGGTTCTTTCACCAGGCGTTACGTTCGCTTGCCTCTGAGACTTATCAGTTACACAGATACTATCTTCATTAGAGGTTGTGAGACTAACCAATCGTCTACTGTTTTAAAACCTATTTTCATTGTGGTATCGTCATAAGAGATAGTGTCTGTGCCAAGGTCTAAAATCCTAATTAGATCCCTTGTTGCTAGCTGGGGTAGCAAGGAAGAAGATTCAGTATCCCAGTAAGACCTTTTTGATACATCACATGCAAATGAAGGATGCAGTTAATTAAATATTTCATCGACTCTGCCCAAACTCAAATGTACCCTGTTGAGCTCTCCCTTAGCTTGATACCACAACCATCACATACAACGGCAGCAGAGGGAAGGGTCACTGTAAGATGCAATACAATAAATATATCAATTGAAGACCAACATTAAAAGAGGTATTTGCTAATGGGCACCATGCCAGGGTTACTCAGGCAGTGCTGCCTGCAGAATTCCTAAGCTGAGTTCACAAGATACAGATCGATGCACCTCCAAAGAGAGTCTATATCAATCTCCATTTCATTCATTAGCTCCCACTTCGAGCTGGTTGGCTGCTAGTTAACTCTTTAATGTGGGAGAAACTGTCAGTGTAAAGGCCACTGGGACACGTGCTCTTCCCAGCTGTACTTGACCTGTCAATATTTCTTGCAGCAGAATGTTTAAACTGGTACGGCTAATGGCAAAATGGAGACCTATGGGGTTTGGGAGGCTTTCATAGCTTTAGAATGGCTTACCATCCAATAGCAAACATTAGTAAATTCACCCCGTTGCTGTATTTCTGCCTGTACCTTACGATCCAGGTGCAACAGAAACTAGGATAAAATTATTTTCCATAGTTCTATTCTGGAACTCAAAGGTATTTTAGACTACACATTATGTAAATGTGGGCTCCACTGCAATGAGATACTATCACACCAAGGACTTGGCTGCAGTGGAGATCATTAGTTTGTGATTCAGCTCTAAAGAAACTCCAAACAATGAGGCAAGCAAGGCAGCCCTTTCTATAAAGTTAGGATTCATTTTCAGCTTGTATTGGTCCAGGGACAACTTTATTGTTGCACAGTAGAAGAACCTGGATGCTCAGGGGGATGCTCGGTGCAGGAACTATTTCAAGCCCTTCTGAAAATGTAAATAAGAGTTCTAAAACATAAAGGCATAATTACCAAAACAGAGAACAGTCTCAGACCACCAGGAATGGCTGGCTTCGCTTATTTTCTTTCCACAAATATTGAATTTACTATTTCCCTTGCCTTACTGTTGAATAAAATCAATTTTCTTAGTAGAGCTGATCTCTGCTTTGTTGGAGGTTAGATGTGAAGTGGATATGCATCCTTAGATATACTGTTTGGGAGAAAGCCTTGAATATTTAACCCTGCATCACAGCGAGCCCTCCCTTCACCTTCCTGTGGGGCATCCACTGATTCACTATTTGACAATCAGAATTCTCCATAGGTTAATTGACATATTTGGAATTCATGGCAAAGAAAATCTGTGCATTATTTTAAAACTCCTGTCAAATTGTTTGTAGATACGGTTTGATAACAACACCTGTTTTTCCCTCTCTTGGCCAATACAATCCACTGAGAATCCTGGCTTAAAGAATTTCCCTGCAGAATTGTCAAACATATGTATTTGTATTTCATTACTTGGGTAATAGCTGATTTGCCAAGTTCATTTACTACTAGTTGCTTCTCAAACATCTCAGTGGGATAATTAAGGAATACTAAGAACTGAAACTGTACTAAGTTAGGAGGGGGCTGGAGCCATTGCCCAAATCCCAGTCCTGTTTAAACTGCTGTCCAGAATTAAATATTCAATAACTGAAATGCTCTTTTCTTCCTCTGCTCTCAGCAACTCATCATCAAGAAGATGGAGCTGCTTCCCAAGTTGCGCAAAAGAGACGTCCCCCCCCCCTCAAATTATCTGCACGAATCAGATCAAAATCCTGCAGACTTTCAAGTATTTTAACTCAAAATTGGTAACGGTCTAAATGGTGCCTTTTCTCAGTGGCTATACACGTGGGGAGAGAAAAATAGTAGCTCCAGGAGTATGCCTTGGAAGGGAGTAAAGAAAGGCCAGACACAGTTCAAGGTTATAGCTGAACACAACGGCACTGATGAGAATTTGGACAGGTAATACCCTCTCTTGAGAAATTGTGAATGTGAAGGATCCTGGAGAAGAATGTTGAAGTATGATAGCGTTAGAGTTTAAATGCTCTCAAAGAATCTTGCTGGCTCGTTGCACAAAGAAAAGTGATATTTTAATCACGAGCTATCTATCATCACTTGAATTTGAAGGCCCGTTTTGAAGTCACAAGCTACTGATTCCCATGATGTAAGTTTTTAGGTCTCTTGCCGGAACAAAAAAGGTATGAAAACGGGGGAGGCGGGTAGGGGGCTGGGGGGAGCACAAAGAAGCCAAATGGCCACAGACCCGACAGAGAGAAGATACTGTGTCTGTCTGTCTGCAACGCTGTCTCCTTTAAATTTTGTTCAAGAAGAAAGAATAATTGAATGGCGAGTTTCTCGGACTCTTCCCTCTGGAGAAAATGGCAATATATGAGAGACGAGAGAGAATGTACTTAAAAATACACTATTGAGGAGTACAAGCCCCATTGCTATCATAAGACAAACACATTTGATTCTTCAGTCCGTAAGTTTTCGAGCTCACATACACATTATAGGAAAGAATACCCAGGGACCCAAAACAAAATTCTGTTTAAAGTGCAGGCACCAAACTAGGAGACGGCTGAGCTCTCGTGTTAGACGAAGAGTCTAATGCGAAAGGGCACTTCTGATGATGATCCTGAATTATCTCCCATCTCTCCTGTTCTGACGTGTACTTCTCTTAGACATATAGCTGATAGACTCAAGGGGCCCCTTAATAATTCCTTGGAGGGCTGCACATAGTTTTCTATCCGCTTGGCACTGGGTGCTCAGAGTGGAGGTTTTATTGATTTTTCCAAAAGTGAAAAAAAAAGTTACCTAACTTAGGACTGACATGATCTTGTTTTACCCTATTTCATTACATGAGAAAATTGTAGTTTTTTTTTTTTTTTTTTTTTTACTCTCTCAAATGCCCAGGAGCCCAGGCTTAAGGAGGGGAAACAGTTCAGACTCTTCAAATAAAATAAAAGTAAGACAGAAGAGCCGAGAGCTTCTCTTGTCACATTTCTACAATTTCCGGCTTTCAAGCCGCCACTTACAAGCCACTTCTTGACATAATCTTTAGGCTTAAGCATGTGGAACAGTGGACCAACCAGCTTAATAAAAAGACAAAGATGATATGCAACTAATGGACAGGGCATCGCAACTAGGTGTTAACACATCATTCATTGAACTAAATGCTCTTTCAAACTCTGCAGCAGAAACAATTAAAGTACTGACGGCAGTCTTAAGTTGCTTCAAATTGTCTGGCACAATTGATCCACAATTATCTTTGTACTCCCCGAAGCCCCCGAATGCTACCTTCTTCATTGACTTTAAATTTCCTTCACAGTTCTCCAACCTGTGTTCTGGCATACTGAATATCCGACAAACTGACTATCCATGGGAGAAGGCCATTTTGATAATCTTGGAATCCTGAATACCCCATTAAAAATCCGAGCTGTATGCCCCTTGAATGCTTATAACCAGCTCTTCATAACAAACAAGAAATCTTGCTGAACATTTAAAGATGAGAGGAGTTAAACTTTAAGACAAAAGAAAGAGATAAGCTGTTTTTCCATTAGTTTCATAACACAACTTGTTAGGGAAATTCTGTGAGACAGAATTTATGGCAAAGAGGCGAATTCTATTTCCAAAGTTTTAACTTTAAACTGACCCATGTCTGGTATGGTCAAGGAATTTTGTTCGCTATTTTTGCATCCTTGGGCCAAGACTCTGATGGCCAATACAAACACTGTTAATGAAACTTCATTTACATGGCTCTTTGGACCTCTCTTTGTTAAAAAGAAAACTCTTAAGTGGCTGATTCATCAGGATTGCTGTGAAAAGCCTCTGAAATACAACCAGATGTGCTTTGTTTCCAAGGTGTTGTGAAAAGGAATTTGTTTTGGGACACAGGCAGAGATGTGTTCATTAACACTATCTTCTACAAATAAATATCTTTCTAATTTTTTTTTTTTACTTTAATCTCCTCCCCCTCCCCCTTTGTTGTTGGTGTCTGGTAGAAAATTGTGCACAGTTATGTGAGTGAAAAACCTTGAAGATGGAGAGAATCAGGTGTCTACTGTGAATAACGGTGCTGTCGCCCTCAGAGGGACACAGTATTTGATCCCAACTGAAAAGTCATTTTTAGCTGTCATGTGAAGGTCTGCAGTGGGGTATAGGCAGTGGACTCAAGATCACTGATATAATTTAGTCACGCAAACAAGACGATCCATGGATTATCTTTTGATCTAAACTTGTACATTTGATTTTTTTCTCAATTAGGTTCATTCTGATATAGAAATAAATGGTGAAGAGTATTTTAGCTGGAACCAACATTGCCAAGGTTCTTGGACTTCACAAAAGTAAAGGCTAAACAGTGATGAGGGTATCAGTGTCATCATGGAATAAAAAAGAAAAACAACTTTTATTTGTGCAGTATGTGAGGAATCCTCATCAGGATCTCATATTTGCTATCTTAGTTCAGCTTTTCTAATAATGCTGTGGAGATCTCTGCATGGATTTCCATGTATCGTTTTAAAAATGTTTATTAAAATTGCTACTTGATACGATTTTATTATTTCATACTGTCGAAACTTCTGTCCTCTCTGAATAATAATTCACATGGTCTATCGAATATATATGTGATGATAATAAGTCTATATATATCATACATTCCCTAATTCTTTGATGCTTTGCTTGTGGCTTGGGGGAAATGTTAATATTACAGAAGGTGTAGTTTCAGGAAATAAGTACAATACTGTTAACAAACATATTAATATGTAATATTGGAAGCCTCACTCCCACACATAATCTCTCTTCACCTGCTTACTTTTTTTTTCCCTTTGCACTTATAACATTAAGTACCAGCTAATCGACTTGTTTGATTGTATTTTCTGTTCACTGTCTGTTTCCCTTCACTGGAATATAAACTCCATGAAGGCAGGAGGCTTTGATTTATTCACTGGTATAACCTCAGCACCTTGAATGGTACCTGTCACATAGCAGCTGTTTAACAGATGTTTGTTAACGATTTCACTAGTCATAGAAAAGGGTAGTACAAACACTGAATGCAGTTTTCATTCTATAATTCCTTGATTCTATCTTTCCCAATAAGTTAATGATGGCCCCACAGTCTATGTTTACTAATCACCCTAGGGAATATGGCTAAAGGTGTTAAGTATTAATTGCTTCAAACACAGTGGGAGGTATACATCACTGGAGAATGTTTAAGTCTTGTTTAAGGTCTTATACAAGAAGCACTGCTTTTCATGTATTCAACATTTGAGATATCGTCATCGGAAAAGGGAAGGCACATTTTGGGAAATGCAGTGACTACTTCTGGAATTCAATAATTTAACTGCGTATGGTTCCCCCTTCAAAAGTAAATTCTATACAGCTATTACTTTCATTAAGATAAATACAGATTCATATTCATTCTCATTCACTCTTTCTCCCTCTCTCTCTCTTACTCACACACAAAGGATGGAGGAGAAAGAACGGTCAGAAAGACCCTGATATAAATGTATAAATGCAAAGAGGAAGGAGCTAAAGTCCTGGATTGTAGTTTTAGTTCGCTAGTACCCAGGCAAGTGATCTTGGCCCTTAATTTCTCTTTGAAGATTGTTTTGTCATTGATTAAACAGTTAAGATCCTATCCCTCTCTAACAAGTCTGTAAGCCCACAAATGGAAGATAGGAAAAAAGTGGGAAAAGAAAGTTAACTTGTGTAAGTGATTCTGATAGCCTTTCAATTTTTGATGGATTAAAAAATCACTAATTCCCATATTGCTTTATCACTTCCCATTCTTTATACCTAGAACATTATTATCATTATTTAGAGACAACAGAGTTCACATCTGGTCCCCCAACTCAGAGCATTGCCTTTGGTGAACAATTCTGTTGCCTATATAATTAATCAGAGGAAATTTCAAAATAGTTGATACCATCAATCTCTTTGCCAGCATATCTGACAGCTTATTTTATCATGCCCTTGGAATGATGCCAGATAGCAAGAACTAGTAACTTCAGGCAAACCTTGTCCTAACACCTGCTTTGTTACCTACCTTGCTGGATACACGTGGTTCACCAGAAACAAGCCAGTATAGAGAATTTCATTAAGTTACTTCTGTATCTTTAATCAACTCTCCCTAGCTTCTTGGAAGGAATTCATCCCTACTTGTCACAAGTGGACCAGGTAGCAGCTCCCCTACAGTAAAGGAAAGACTTTTCCCTACTGTATTAGAACCTCCTGTATGTTGGCTACTCTGAAGAGTGGTCTTACCTATCATGTTTATACCTATGGCTTTCTGCTCAGAAATTAAAATAAGCTGGTGATGACTGGGAAAACTTAGGTTGATTTATATATTTTTAATTAGTCAAGACCAACAAGATGATTATATTATTCCCATTTAAAAATTTAAGTAATCAAAGCAGAGCAAGTGCCAGGGTCACCAAATTAGGCCCCTGCTAAGACCAAGATTACAATACAAGAGTTCTTGGTACGTTATGTTTCCAATTATATAAAAGGTTCTCTTGCACTAAGACAGATCCTACACAGTCAAATAGAAAACACACTGGATTGGAAATCAAATAATATGGATTTTACCACGAATTTACTATAACACCACAGGTAGTTATCCCAGTTGTGACTTCATTCATTCAATATTAATTTATGTAATAAACAAATACCCAATCTGTGCACGCATACACGCATGAAAGAGGCAGAAAGTAGTTTCAAGGTGACAAATTGACAAGAGAGTGTATAAACCACATGTACAATGCTGAGGGGATTCAGAGGAATTGATCTTAAGGGGCTCTGCTAGGCTGACTGGTTTTGACACCTGGTCCTTCCATTCAAACTGACGATGACATAATTCACCAAATTATAAGGTTGTTTTGGACCTGTGAAAATACAGCTTCAAACGTTTTTCTGGTCTATCAATTTTCCTGTGTTTGAAATAGAATGATGACTACTCTAATTAATAAAATGAAAATAAACTATGTAGTTCTTCTCAAATGCTGTGGAATAGTCTATGCCAGTGATTCTCCTTATTTTCTATGTCAAGGACCCTTTGAGAATCTTATAAAAGCTAAAAAAAACCTCACCTCCAATCATAAAAAATAGGTGAACACAAAATTTTGTATCAATTTCAGGGATTCAGAAGGTCCCCAAATCCTATCCCTGGATCTCGGGTTAGAAATCTGTGTCCTAAACCAAAAGGCGACACAGCTTCAGGAGAACATCCTCGTTTGCTGCGATGATCTTGATTCTAGCTCCACAATCCATTTATTCCACAGATATTATTAAGCATCTAAGATGTGCCACATGCTGTTCCAGGTGATGCGATGTCTCAGAGAACAAAACAGACAAAGTTTCTTGACCTCAGCAGGGCGGAAAACAGACAATAAACAAAAGCAATAACTAAATTATATGGCATGCCAGTGGGTGGTAAGTACTGTGGAAAAAAATTAAGTTGGGAAGGGGATTGGGGTGCCAGGGAGCATGGAGGAGGAGGTTTGTAATTTTAAATAGGGTCGTCAGGGAAGTCCCCCTGAGCACGTGACATTTAAACAGACTCAAAGGAGATAAAGCCAGGTAGCTATCCTGGGAGAGTATTCCAGGTAGAACAAACACAAGTGCAGGGGTCCTGAGAGGGTGGAGCCCGGTAAGCAGGCAGAAGGGCTGGAATGGAGTGAGAGATGGGGAAATAATAGTAGGAGATAAAAATCAGAGAAACAGAAGGTGTGTGGGGAGAGGACAGTGGCAGATCACAAAGGACCTCAAAGGCCTTTTGACAACTTTGAGAAAGTCCTTGGAGAGTCTGAAGCAAAGTAACGTGATCTGATTGATGTTTGAACAGGACCTTGTGGATGATGGGTTGTGAGGCAAGAGATACGCAGAGATTGGGTCACTGCAGAGATTCAGAGACAGATGACGTGGCTTGGGCAACAGTGGAAGCCGGGAGGGGTGAGAAGTCGTCAGATTTTGGATGTATTTTGAAGGCGCATTCAAATGCTGATGTATTCTATGTGGAGTAAAATTTAAAAAAAAAAAAAGTCGAGTATGCCTCCAGGGTTATTTTGGCCTAAGTTGCCACTCACTTCAACTGCAGGAGGAATAGAATGGTAGTTAGTGGGTGGTGGTAATCATAATACAAGCATTCGAAGGTTTGCTGGAAAAATACTGTTCACTATCTATTCTACTTTGTAGGCTGATCTAAATTTCTCCACTTTTATTTATGACCAGTATTGTCAGCAGAAAATTGGGCTTACTATTTTTATTTTTATTTAGTTTACAGTTCAGTGGGTCCACCTCTCCCCATAGAGCCTTCCTTGACCGGTCTAGCTGCCTCTGAACTCACAGCCCAATTTGGCCATGTACTTGTTGTTTAGAAAATTGTTCTTTAAGTGTTATATATGTTTTGATGTTTTAGCTTCCTCATGAGAATGTAAGGTCTAAAAATGCAGCATCTATCTCCAATCCCTCTTTTGTATTTTACCAAATGTACCTAGCACGGTGCTAAGTACCAGGCAAGTAGAATTATTAATACAGTTTTGGCTGATAAAAAAAAAAAAAAACAAAACTCTACACTGTTCTTCCATACAGCAACTTCCTTTCTTTTCATTTTTGCACTCAGCTCTGAAAATGGAACAGCCTGAGACATCAAAGCCTTTCACAATTTGACTAAGTTTGTGTAATCGGTGAAAAGATAAACCGCATGCAACACGTTTACGTCTCAATCCCTTTCCTGAGCTACAATCTGGGTGTAAATAACTAAGGCCAACACTTGGGTGAACTCAGTGGAATCTGAAATTTTGATTAATGCTACAACCGCAATCATATGATTTGTGTCTTTGAGGGAGGATCAATGCTTAAAGATCTGTCAAACCTGTTCTGTAGAGTTTGAGTGTTTGATCCTTTTAGGGTTTCTTTTTAATTTTCTTACAAGTGAAACATCAGGTTCATTATCAATTGATTAAATTGGCAGGCAGTCAAGTAAAGAACAAAATCATACATGGTTGCCTGAATTATTAAGGTACTAGTAACTTCATCACATTGGCACAGCAGAGGGCTATTAAAGATTATAGTAAATGTTTCTAGCACTTTTAATAAGATGGCTTTTTTCCCCGAGGGTTCATCTTGCACATTAGCGGTAAAGAGAGCTTCTTTCTATGTTTTCACTTTATTGATGCATACCAGTTCTGGACCTAGTAGACTTTACTTAATCTGTTGTGTCCGACTGATGTTCGTCCCTGCGCTATTGGAACCCAGTGGCAATCAGGAGAGTTCTGAGGCAGAGAACTGTGGTCTGGGAGATGAGAAGCAAAACACCTGGGGAGAGAGATGGGGTAAAGCAGACAGATTGGCACTTCACATCATTTCTGGCTCAGGCAAGTGGTTACTGGTCATTGTGCCTTCCGCGGTCATTAAAATTTACCTATTTTAAATTCTGACACTGGACCTTTCCAGCTCTTTCTTTTCTCCCTCATTATGGGCTTGGAGCAGGAGTTTATTTCAAAGTACCCTCCATTACAGACCTGGCATTTGCACTGTGTCCTCTTTCTGAGTGACCTTTCCCCTCTCGGAGTCTCGTCATTTCTAAAACTTGAGCACTTCAAGAGGAGAGGATGTGAGTGTCGGAGGAAAGGCGAATGCATTTACTTGTTCCTTTTTCTTCTTTCATCTGTTTCACCCCTTGGAATTTGCTTATTTGGGTTTCGATAAGGAAAGGGATATTTCTCTAATTTGTGAGTTATCCAGGTCCTTTATTTCTTATTCTTTGACTGCTCTTTACTCAGTTTTAGGTAACCTGTGACTTGCCACCTCATCTCTTGGAAGAGAAAGATAATTAGGAAAATGCATACTAGCCAATTTCAGAACTTACTAGCTATTTATATATGAAATTTTATGAAGATGGGGTATTGAGATAAATAAAATTAGATTTCTCTACTGTAAGATTTAAATGGATTTATGTTGTGTCTTTTATTATCGTGAATAATCCATTAAAAAATTTACACACGATGATTCAAGGTATGCGGACTACTATCAACCAGACAGGAAAAGAAATCCTAGACTTGAGACTCAACTTACGTGATTTTACACACTCTGATGTCCCTAGATTTTAGCTGGGAAAAACGAGTATTTTGGGACAGTATTTGGATGCCATAATATCATAGCTAACTCTTCCTTCAAGCCCAAACTGAAGTTCTGTTTCCTCCGTGATACTTGTCCCTAATTCAAAGCATCTTTCAAGGTCCGTAAATATGACTTTTTTTTTCTTTTTTATAGTTCCATATCCACTTCTACTTTACCTTTACCACCTGATGTGTTACTTATTTCAACCCCACCATTTCACATAGTTGGACAGTTCTTGAAGGCAGCATCTTGTCTTTAAACAACTTTCACATAGGTCATAGTCACTAGTAGAGTTCTAGTTGCCATAACCATCTAAATGACTAATTTGTAAAAAAAAATATATATATATGTCTTTTGCTAATGGCAAAGCCTTCTCATACCTGATCGGATTTATTAACTTTCTAGCAAGCTAGTTGGATGACATATCACCTCATGTTAGCCTTAGATTGCTCATAAAAGTAGGAAAAAATTACTCTGTTAACTAAGGTCGCACATGCCAACCATTTTCTGAGCCCACCTTTGTTAGATAGTTGGCTCTCTGAGAAGAATGATTGCCTGTTTATTTATCAGTCAAATTGAAAAAGAATAAATCGATAAGGCCAACCTGTAGGGATAACTTTGTAGCCCAAGTAAACTTTGGAAAACTCATAGGATACAACACATATATGGGGCATTATAACTGACCAAGTTATGTATATAATAATGTTGACTTTTAAAAATTAATTTTGAAATAATAGTTAATGGGGAAGACTCTTAAGTTTTATTCACATCTCATCTAAAGTCATTTTATTCTAGAAAAATTGTTAACGTTCATCTTCGCCATTTCTTTGAAATCTTTCTATATTCACATAATGTCCACGTGCACACATATACGCAGTGCATATACTTCTATCTTCTTGCTCTCACAGAAGCACATCCCTATTTTCAAAGAGAGAGTTTATCTTTTTAAGGGTGTGAGAACAGAAGCAAAAGAACGAAGGACCTCTCCAGTTCCATTTTCATAATAGAATTCTGTTGTTCTGGAATGATTTATTTTTGAATGAGGAAAAATGTAAGAAACTTGGAACACAGACAAAAGTACCTTCTCATCAAAGGTTGTCTATCGTTTCATGAATCACATGAGATGGATGAGATTTATGAATTAGACTCTGTGTCAAGAGATTTACAACATACTAAATTAGTTATGACATCTTCTCGTTGGTGCGCATAAACTTTCAACAAAATATCTCTATCATCAGCACAGGAGCATGGTTGTCCCAGTTCCTTCATTCCACTGCAGCACATCCAGACCCTGTCACTGTAGTTGATGAATTCTTGAAGGAATGGGCCTCAGATCAATTAAAATAAACACCACAAGCTGATTTATCATGTCTTTTCTGAATGCTCTCAGAAAATGTCAAAAATCAGATCCATTGACAGAGAAAAGTCAGAGAATCGTGGCAGCCTATGGGATCACAAGACCTTTTCAAAACCATTATAAATCACCACAGAAAACAAATGGGGCACCACGTGATAAGATTTCTTCTGACAGCTTTGCCTCGGCAAAGATATATATGAGATAAACGGATACCTTCGTCTATACCCAATTGCCAGTTTACAAAGTTCCAAGTTGTCAAACTGTAAAATACACCGGTATCAAGTCCTTCCAAATGATATACCTTTTATGCGTATACAAGAACGGATTTAAAATAACATCCCCTTCAGTTCTATTTCATTGTTGCAAGCTATGTAATACCCCTGATGGTGTGTGAGCTTTCTAAAAGAAAGTGCAAGTGTATGTGTGTGTGCGTGTACGTGTGTGTGTGTGCGTGTGCATGCGCACGCACACATGCACACACACACAGAGCAGGCTCCAAAATTTACCTTCATATACATCCCTGTCTGAACTAATGAAACTTTCTTCACTTTCCATTATTAAAAGAAAACTGCTTTATAGCGCTGAAGTGCATCCAATCAAGATACCCTTTGTTTTTTTCTTAATCATCCCAGTCTTGTCTCATTTCATACAGGTTAAGAGCACATTCAGAGACAAGGAATAACAGGTTAACCTATTCTAGTCTACATCAGGAACAGACAAACGCTTCCATTAATGAGTTTCTGCAAATATTCTCAAACCCTATAGGTAGAGGTATATTGTAGGAGGCCTTGGATTTCAGAGTAAATTTTAATTATAAATTATACCTCATATACTCCTCTATAGGTGGCAAATAAAAACTTATATAAATATTAGAAATTTCATATGATATACGGAGCTGGTTTTCCTGATTCAAAGAAGCCAGAGAGCCTCATTCTCAAAGTAAGACTGA